AAACGATCGTGTCCAAATCTACCCTTCCCATGCTAGCACTGACCAGCTCTGCCTGTTTGAAACTCCTGTTAGACATCAATCACCCAACAGAGATGATATGGGTTGTACATGCAGTCTTATTTCCAACTTGAATTGCCATAGTTTAGTGGGCGCTAGTCAAACTCACGGCAGTGTTAATTATGTGATAAAGAACATCGAATTATTCAAAGGAAAAACAAAATCGTTACGCTTTACAATTAATCTGGTACGGTGTGGTTGAATGGTAGAGCCAACCGAAAACTATCGAGGCTGAAACCGGGTTCAAGTCCTAAGAAAGTCCCTGAGTCCATACAACTCTAATAGGAACTTAAATCACGTTAGAGAACCCAAAGCGCCTGTCAGTGTTTCTACCGCCCCCCCCCCCCCCCGAACGAAATGGAACTCATATAGAAATACTTACTTTTAACAGTGTCCGCCCCCTCCTTCCCAAAAATTTCAATTACTCCCTCCCACCCCCACCCCCCCCCCCCCCCACCCCAGGAGAAAAAAGTCTGGAAGAAACACTGGCGCCTGGGCGTAGTGATATTCCTTCATATACCGAGGTCATTGAAACAGTTGGACTTCATCTAACCCTTAGACCGTCAGTTTCAAAAAGGGAACTTTACTTCCATATACACTAGTGTTAGAAACGACGACAACATATAAATAAGATGTGTATGTAACCACGTTAACCGGAAAGTCAAAGTTCTAACCCCACACCCCCCCCACCCCCCCACACACACCCACACACACCCACACCTACACACTGTATATTTCAGTCCAGCCAAAGTCGCGCAACTCCCGCAATGTTTGTCACCCGCGTTAACTCCCCTGAGACCGGCACAATACCCGATGAGTGTTAAATCCCCCCAGTAATCACTTCAGTGGATTCCGGTCACGTGGGATATCTCATTCAAACGAGACGAAACAAACTCGGGCTGTCCGGGGGTGGGGGTGGGTTTATTTTTAGTACTTTTTTCAAAAATTTCAAACGATGCAGGTCCCACAACTCTGAACCAAAAGTAATGTTGACAACCTGTACAGTGTTATATAACTTACAAAACTTTTATATTATTTTGTTCGATTTTATTTTTATACATTCAAAAACCTTACGTATGCCTTGATTAGTAGGCCTATTTGTCTGTTTTTTAATTACACAAAAAGCAAATTTCCTTCATCCATTTTGGCAAACAAGACAACACATCCGCCTGATGTAGCCAGCTTCAGCGGAATTAAATCTGGCCATCTGGTCAACAGAGATGTACAAAGTAATCGATAACTCTCGGGGGTGTTTAATATTTAAGCATGTGTACATACGTACAGCTGTTTCTGGTAAAGGGACGGAAACACTGGGCTAGTTTTGTCGATAACAGGATTGGCTATTGCTGACACTGTACATTGGTAAAGTAACTGTTTCTAAATAGTTACGTTTTTTTTTTACTGCTACAAGAAAAACACAACACAGGCGAATAATACAAAACTTTAGTAATTTTTTTTTAAATCAAATTTAATTCAATCTTAACGGAACTACACCTCTTTAATTAAATTGAAGCAGTCAGTAATTAACGAGCAGGTTGAAATCGGAGTCAATGGCCTTAATGTCGTTTAACCAGTTGATAAGTATACTTAATTGTGTTGGAGGGGATCCCTCCCAACAATAAAATTTAGAACGAAGAAGAAGACAGTGGGTTCGTATAGCTTGTGTGTCGGTTTATGTTCTAACTTACATTAATAGATGAAGGTATAGATTAATCAAAACAAGGAATTTTAAATACGAAATGTCAATTAACTTGAACTAAAAACTTGTAAACATCACATTCATTCATAAAACATTTCGATGGTTGGTACACAACATCCTTTATGTTGTTTTAATTTCTTTGATAAAATAACCGTGACTCGTTTTAATGGATGCTCATTATCCACAGTGTTTGACGCTTTAATTAAGTATGTTGTTTTGTAGGTTAAAATAAGTATTTTCTAATTTTATTTGGCGGATTCAAGTTTTTGGCTGGAAACTTAATATTTGCAAAATGGTAGAAACTCCGGAAATATGGAAAATTGAATATATCGAGTTTCTGGAGCATATTTTTTTTAAATTCAAAAGTTCAAATATCAGATAAAGATGTAGTATAATTTTGATTCTTTTTTCTTCCACGGAAATTGATTTTTTTCTTAAACAAAAATAACTCATTATTGAGATTTAAAAAATGGAAGGAAATGAGATTGGACGTGTACTGACCGGGTTATGAGTTTTGATTTCCAATTCACAACTATCTGATCATCTATCAGACTATGGGAGCACTCATTATTATATATATATATATATATATATATATATATATATATATATATATATATATATATATATATATATATTGAAGAGAGGTATAACCAAGAGGTTTTCGACACGATGTTTTGATGGTTTAATAACGTAATAGTGCAAATATCCCGGAAATGAAACAAAGTCTGGTACATTTTAATTAGTAATCTTTACTTAAACTCCGATCAACTGAAAAGTTTTTATTGACATAAAAGGTACGGGCTAGTCAATGTGATGACATATAAAAGCGTGTGACAGTTTCCGTTATAAGCGTTCAACACAGCTAACGTATAAAATCGATCAATGTTCGCCTGTCAACTCTGTGTTCGATATGATCGATCTTCTATAAGTAACTCTATCAATACTCTCCACGTTTTTTTAGCGTTCATTGTGGCGTTTTCATTCAACTTTTGGCATTTAGACGTTATTCTTGACGGCTTAGAGGTTGGAGATTAGACGGTGCTTGGAAAATAGAGGTTTAGGATTATGTGATTGGGTTGAAAGGGAAGTATCGATCACATTTTTTAGTTAAGATTGTGGAGGAAGGGTTGGTGTTGTTTAATTGTTGGAGGGCTAAGTAATTATTTTTTTTAAGAAAGAGACTAAAAGCTGTTCGTTTATAAATCTAAATGTCACTCTTTCGACGTATTGTTGTTTGAACATCAAGCAAAAAACAAAGAAAACAATGTTATGCTTGGTATGAATATTTTAGCATGATTTTTTAAAAGACGACACGGCAACGTTTTTATTTTTATTTTAAAATAATATTGTGGTCTCAACTTCACCACATCACTCTTTGCTTAACATTTTCTTCCTTTTGACAAAATTTGTTTAACTCAAACCCGAGGCTCAAATTGAATAGCCTTCACCCTAAACCTAAACTAACGTGAAATATACACCTAAATTTGATAGAGGAGCGGCTGATTTACGTACAGTGTTAAACATTGTATTAGGTGTAGGCCTATACCACGTACAGTGTTAAACATTGTATTAGGTGTATACCACGTACAGTGTTAAACATTGTATTAGGTGTATACCACGTACAGTGTTAAACATTGTATTAGGTGTATATCACGTACAGTGTTAAACATTGTATTAGGTGTATACCATGCACAGTGTTAAACATTGTATTAGGTGTATAACACGCACAGTGTTAAACATTGTATTAGGTGTATACCACGCACAGTGTTAAACATTGTATTAGGTGTAGGCCTATACCACATACAGTGTTAAACATTGTATTAGGGGTATATCACGTACAGTGTTAAACATTGTATTAGGGGTATACCACGTACAGTGTTAAACATTGTATTAGGTGTATACCACGTACAGTGTTAAATGTATTAGGTGTATACCACGTACAGTGTTAAACAGTGTATTAGGTGTATACCACGCACAGGGTTAAACATTGTATTAGGTGTATATCACGTACAGTGTTAAACATTGTATTAGGTGTATACCACGCACAGTGTTAAACATTGTATTAGGTGTATATCACGTACAGTGTTAAACATTGTATTAGGGGTATATCACGTACAGTGTTAAACATTGTATTAGGTGTATACCACGCACCGTGTTAAACATTGTATTAGGTGTATACCACGCACAGTGTTAAACATTGTATTAGGTGTATACCACGCACAGTGTTAAACATTGTATTAGGTGTATATCACGTACAGTGTTAAACATTGTATTAGGTGTATACCACGCACAGTGTTAAACATTGTATTAGGTGTATATCACGTACAGTGTTAAACATTGTATTAGGGGTATATCACGTACAGTGTTAAACATTGTATTAGGTGTATACCACGCACCGTGTTAAACACTGTATCAGGTGTAAACTAACAACCAGGAAACTGATGTAGACACAGTTGTATCTGTAACGCTGATCTCAACGGGGTGATTTTTATTATGCAGCAACATACGCAATGTTGGCATTATCAGTGGGGGCACTCCCTAGGCATTATATGAGGACACTCTATGTTTTCTTAATCCTTTTTATCCGTTGCATTTATGTGTGCATTATTTAGGGCTTTATCAGTTGATTTTAAAAGTGGGACTTATATGTACATGTTAACTGAATGAATAAGATATGTGAGTTAGTTACGGGCAGTACATATTAATATTTTACATGGATTACATAAATGAATTAGAAATGCGAATATGTTATGTAAATTAGAAATGGGCAGTACATATTGAAATTATACATTGGCATTATATTAAATTTGTATGATTTGTTGACATTAGATGGGTTTATGTCCAGAGTTAGGGTTAGGGTCGAATAACTCAGCTTGCCCAGAACTTGGGTTAGGGTTAGACCCATCTGTATAACCACATACTACTTTTGGTTAACTGGCCATGTCTATAACTTGGGTTAGCATCAGGTAACTTATGTCTATAACTTGGGTTAAGATCAGGTAACTCATGTCTATAACTTGGGTTACCATCAGGTAACTCATGTCTATAACTTGGGTTACCATCAGGTAACTGATGTCTATAACTTGGGTTACCATCAGGTAACTGATGTCTATAACTTGGGTTAGCATCAGGTAACTCATGTCTATAACTTGGGTTACCATCAGGTAACTCATGTCTATAACTTAGGTTACGATCAGGTAACTCACTGTGTCTATAACTTTGTTAGGATCAGGTAACTCACCATGTCCAGAACCTGGGTCAAGGTCAGCCCCATCTGTATAACGACGGGGGACGAGGCGTTCCTGACGGGTCTGACGGACCTCTCGTACCCTCGCATGATGTGGTCCAGTAGCCTCTGCTCGTCAGGGACGTTAGGGCCCCGCTGTTTGGGCACGTGGTAGGCGAACCGGTCATAGTCCCTGTAGCCGGCCCTCTCCTTGCCGCATGCTGTGGGGGGCGGGGGATACAAACATGAGAATGTTAGTAGCTGTGTTTATAAGACAATATATGTGTTTAAAATTCAATAATTTAGATTTTGGTAATTAAATGTAACTTTAATGAACATGAGATCTGAATATGTCAACCCCAGAAGGCCACTCCTACCATAAATAATCGGATGATGTTCTGCATCTGATGGAATCCTGGGGTGGGGGCGTTAAGTGGTTGATGCTACAGAGATAACATTGTTGAAACCATACTGCCTTGTTTTAAATCATTGCTAAAAACCATTACGCCCGTAGCAGAAAAACAAATTGTTAGGAAATATCACGTATACATTCAAGTAAGGTCGGATGGTTGCTAAAAACGGAAATGTCCAGTTCAGTCCACTCGCTCGAGTGTAACTCTAAAGGATGCCCCCACTCCTCCCACCCCCACCCACCCTTGAGTCTAGCTAACTCCTGTGTCCTGAAGCTAGTGTTGACCATACGAGCTAATTAATGAGCTGTGATCACAATTCATCTACCATGTACCGCACTCTTATTTTTGTATTTCTTTAATCATATTGAAAAAAACATTTTTTTAAAATTGATGCTTTCTTCAAGAAAGTTTTCACCTGTGCAGGTAAAGGTTAACTAGTTCAGAAGATGTTCCAGTGGGGAAAAAGAAAAAAATCGTTAAGTCTCGAGGTGTGATCAGTCAGCTACAGCCAATCAAACAGAGAACCCAGCCCGTGATAGTTTGTGGGGAAATCGCGTGTAAACTTTAGGGCTGCTGGTGTTGAGAAAAGTTCAATGACATGACTGGTGATGGTGTTTAGAGGCTTTTAGTCGTTGTGGTCATCGACCCAGTCAGTCGATGGTCGACTATGGTCACCACACGGTCAAAAGACAACCTTGAGCAGTTTTTAACTTTTCATAGATGACTTTTATACTCCGACGAGTTCAACGCTCATATTTTTAGCAACAAGGTCGAAATACAAAATGGCTAATACCAATGCGCAGTGGCCAATAGCGAAAACTTAATAAACCCAAAGGTAATATTCTTAATGAACAACTATCTAAACTTGAATTAACTGTAAAACAATAGATTATTTTTTAATGAACAATGACAAACTTCTGAATTAACAATAGCCGAATGTTGTAAAATAAAAGAATAAAACTGTAAAGCAATTCCAAATATTGGAAAACAATAGCCAAATACTGAAAAAAAAAAGTTTATTTCTAATTTCTAACCAACGACAGAGTACTGAATGAACTTTGTTTAAATACTTACTGAACAGTGACCAAATAAAGAATAAACATACATTGAATATTGAATGAATAAAATTAAAGCTTACTATATTATTAAAAGAAAAGAAAACCAGTTCTTTATGTTGGACAAATACCACACGGTTAATCCAAACACCACAACTTATGTAAATTTTCATTAGACTGCAAACAAACCTCAACTGTAATTTGTAATTACATCGCGATTTATCTTACAGTGGGAAAAAAATCGATACCTAAATTTGTGAGGCAAATATTATCTGCATCCTTTTCTGGCAAACTAAACAACTCATCTGTCTGACATGGCCAGATTCAGCGGAGTTAAATGTACAAAGTAATCGATAACTTAAAGATATGAAATAATTCAGCATGTGTACTTTGTACTTTCATCGACCACCTGATCAACAGAGATGTACAAAGTAATCGATAACTGTAAGATATGAAATAATTCAGCAAGTGTACTATGTACTTCAGCATGAGTACTATGTACTTACATGTGGCCACCTGATCAACAGAGATGTAAAAGTAATCGATAACTTTAAGAAATAATTAAGTATGTAAACTGTGTACTTACATGCTGCGGCTTGCAATACGAGGGACAACAACACCGGAAGTGCGTTGTGTTTCCATAGCAACAAAGCACGCAGGTTCCTCCCCTGCGAGTGTTGATTGATGACCACGGCCATTGTTGATGTTGTTAAATCCTTTGGTGGAATATGTTGATCAAGGTTTTAGGAAGTCGTCTTGTTTTCCTTCAGAAAAGTTTAACACCAGACTGTCTGTATACTTTTTTGCTCAATTAATTTCAAATTTAAATGGCGTTTGAAAGACGGATGGGCGTAGGTGGTTACCAGACTGGTTTCTAGAAACTTCCTGAGTTTGATACGTTGTGTATCGAATACCCGATTAGTTCCCTTTCAGGAATACATACAGCACATAATACCTGGAAGCACAAATGATGTTTTTGTTCACGATTTACAAACTGTAAGGTTAGAATAGCTGACCAAACTGGCATATCATCCCACACAACATGACCAGATTTTGTATCCAGTTGAGCACAGTTTGGTAGACCGAATTCGTTTTTCACTGCTTTTCTAGTTTTCACAGAAATTCCTACTTTTACACAAATTAAACTCCTGTTAAATTGTTGGTGGATTTTAATTTTTTTTTTTAATGAAATACACGTATTATGCCAAATCTTTTAAATAAGTGCTTAGAAGTCTACTTCATTTATATAACTAGTTAAATGTAAACATAAGATTTATTCATCGGATTAATTAGACAACAACATTTAAATTAAGTTTTAATTGGTCTGAAATTCCCAAGTGAAAACGTAAATCACAGCCAATCCGAATGTGCTGCATTATTTTTAAAAACCTCCCGAGTTATTTCCCTTAAAAGACGTCACGTTTGATATATTATTTATTATTTTAGAATTTACAGTTTGTAAAATAAGTCGCTTTAAGCCCCACGATCCGTTTCCATAATCAGTGGAGAATTAAAGTTTCGATTAGTCGTCTCGACAGCATGAATAAATCACGGACTAATTCCCCTTGCAGCAGATGGTACGTTTAATCGGTTTGATGACTGCCATTGTGGACTAGAGTGCCTGGGTTTCCCAGCGAGTGAAGCAATGTGGGACTTAATCTGAGGGAAAATAAAGCCAGGATTAGCTGATTAGGATTAGTTGATTAGGATTAGTTGATTAGGATTAGTTGATTAGGATTAGTTGATTAGGATTAGTTGATTAGGATTAGTTGATACCATCTGAAAATAAAATTGGTTTAAGCCGACTCAAGTTTTAGAAATATTTTAAATATCAGTCAGCTGAATTAAGAAGGAAAGGTACACTTAAAACATATTTTTAAATGTTGCATTATTTTATTTTTAAAAAGTGAATGAAACAACTAGACGGGGTATGAAAACAATAGATTTCTTTCATGGTGCATAATTTAACAATGTTATAGTTGTATGGATAATGTATTGAATATAAAATACATGCATTATAATAGACTGGATTGCAAACGCGTCAATTGTGAAACCTAATATATCAAGCTAGATGTCAAATAGAACAATATAATCCAAAAATAAAATCTTTTCTACTACAGACACTGGTGGAAAAATAAACCAGCCGATTCTAACAAAAGACAAGGATTTAATATTTAAAGTAAAATAAGTTTTTGTGCATTAAAAATATCAAATTGAAATGTTTAAAAATACGGTCAAAGTGTAGATTTAAAATAGAGAACATATAATAAGAAAAAGTTTTTGATGTGTCCTGAAGATACTTAGATTAGCAACTGATATGCACTGAAAGTTTTCGGAGTAGGTAAATGATTGGTATATAAGAAAAATATAAATAGTATATACTATTTTATGTTATATTATTAAAATTATATTGAAAATTAATGAATAATTAGAATATGCTCCGAAATCAATACGGATAATAAGGATAATGTGAATAAGTTCTCATTTTAAACATCTGAAATATAAATCAAATAATTGTTGAAATATAAAATTCTAGATTTTAAAATAAGTTGGCCTTTGAATTTTCAATGAATTAAATCAATCAATAAATGAGGTCTATCTTTCAACAACAACAACAAAAATAACAGTAGATTTTAGCAGTTTGAGATAAGCAGCTATTTCCACTAAAAAAATTTATCATAAATAGTGAAATAAAGATACACTGCTTTCATTCATTTAGTTGTTTTTTTTTAATATAAGTATAAATGCTAAGAAGAAAGATGGGGCCGAAATTTCTTGTACACAAGCAAGTCATGGAATGATTCATATTTTAATTTTAAAACCAATTAAATAAATTAGCAAACACATCTGTTCTAGAACTTTAATCTATCAACTATTCTTTTACCATCGTTTTTCTTAGTACGCTGGGGCGCACAAAATGAGGTTTTAAACAGTCATACAAAAATTGAGATGAATTTACTCTCTTCAAGTGGATGGTGGGGGGGGGGATGTAAATTATAGTTCCAGAAGTTTGGGATATTGTTTCAGCTAATGGCTGTTTATGTGGTTCGTCTGAGCTCGGCCATAGAGGACTGACAGAAGGCATCTATAAGATCTAACTCGGCTACTTTATATATGTGGGAATACGGCGAGTTTTGAAGTGTGAGGGTTTGGTTTTTGTTCTATTGTTGGTTTAAAAAGATGGGCAATTGCAACTGTGCTAATGTCAAGGTGCATACACAGTTCAACTGTGCTAATGTTAAGATACAGATGTGCTAATTTCAAGATACATACACAGTTCAACTGTGCTAATGTCAAGATACAACTGTGCTAATGTCAAGATACATACAACTGTGCTAACATCAAGGCACGTTATGCAGCACTTCGCATTAAGAAATTTCCGTAACAAAAATGTGTGTTTATGCTGTAGATATTATTAGCGCCTTTAGCGTATATAATTTGTATAAACTGTAGGTTTAAGAAATGACTAAGGTATAGGCTTGTATATTAATGTGTAAAATAAATTAGCATAATTGAACAGTTTTTAAATATGCGTGTAAGAATGACGTTTTATAAAAGGGGTCAAAATATGTATAGCTTGCTGTGAATAGATGTCAGATGTATATGTTAGATTTATACGGTATATTCTATCGTTGTAAAAACATGCCCTTATAAATAGGGTATGAATCAGCGTGAACGGTTGAAGCAAAATTATATACAGGTACAGCCCAACTAAGCCTTGGGTATTAGTACACAATTCGTGAGTAGCAAGCATTTGATATTATCAGTGCACCCAAATAGTCTATAATCTGTTAACTCATGCAAATGTAAACAACATTAAGTATAGTCGGGTTTTATCAAATGTTTGGTAGAAATATGAAGTAAATATAATCTCATCAAAAATAAAAAAATAAATTAAACGTTTTTTTTTAATGTTTATGATAATTCGTAAACAGTGTTCTATTGTTAATATTTCTTAATGTATATATTGTATACAGTGTTTCTTCCAGACTTTTTTCTCCGGGGGGGCACTTGAAATTTTCGGGGGGCGGTAGACTTTCTTCGGGGGGGGGGGTGGCGGACACTGTTAAAAGTATATATTTTCTATATAAATTATATAAATTTCATTTCGTTCGGGGGGGGGCGGTAGAAGAGATGCCTGGAAGAAACTCTGCCGCACCCCAGAAAAATATAGAATGTCTGAGACGGTCAGTCAAAGTGAAACCAGAGGTGAAGAGAATAAAATACACACCCGTTCCCTCCCCGAATAATTCTCAATAATAAACTTGAACTGTTAGTTCAACGTCCTAACAAAACTTAAGTTGAAGAAAAAATTAGAAAACATCATTACAAAATAGTAACTGGTATCAAATCTGAACGAAACAAAGTAGCAGACAAACTACGGATATTGAAGTACCAAACTTTTGCTTGTGTTTTGTGTGCTCTGATGTTGATGAATGTAAATAATATTATACTAGAGGTTTGATCTGGTGGTAAACGACAGAAGGGTTACTGCCAAGCTAGACATTACTTTAGGTGTAAAGTTGTTGGGGGGGGGGGGGGGGTGGGGGGGGGGAGGGGAGGGGCACTTCGAGGAGAATGGGAAACAGGTGTAGTGTTATTTAGAACTTTCTTCATTTGCATGTATTTACTGTCCCTTTTTATCAGGGATCCAAAATTTTGTTTTTGAGCAAATTTCCCAGGCAGTAAGTTAAAGTAATTTGATTAAAATGACCAAACAATTCTTTACGAATAGCTAATGTTTTTAGTTTAAAGTACTTCAGTATTTTAAGCTAGTGCTTATTAAATGTAGTATTTGGTTACAAATGTCAATAAAGTAAATAACTATACGTCTGGTCTGATATTATAGATCTTTAGTTGCGTTATCAATATTTTCGTTAGTTTTTTTTTTATTATTTCTATCTAATTATAAATTGTCTCCCTTATATTTTTAGTAACGGAAGGGAGGTAACTTATTGCCCTGATAAATTTAATCATCTGCATTTGTATCCAAAGTTACCTTTGTGAAATAACTTTCAAGGCATGTGTGCACAAGTCCCCTACAGTTTCTGCTTTTAACAGTTCATTTATTTTAGACATCAGCAGATTATCGTTTATTTATTTACATTTTACTACATGATATTTTTAAAGGCGACTCAAAATTGAATTGTGATGGTGTTAATCGATAGGGTGAACCCTAAACTTGATAATTAATCTGCTTTATACAGATTTCACAATGATTAACAGAAGTATGTGTGTTTGTGTGTGTGTGTGTGTGTGTGTGTGTGTGTGTGTATGTGTGTGTGTGTGTGTGAGTATAAGAAAATGTGTGTATGCGTGATTGTGTGTGTGACTGTGCGTGTGACTGTGTGAGTGTTCATTTTGGTGGTAAAGGTCTTGAATGTGGTAGTCACAGCTGTATTGTGTTGAAGTAATCAAAGTAAACTTGTTGATTAAAAAAAATGAATTCACGTGACAAATATAATAACAATGTACTTGTAGGTACTCCCCCCACCACACACACACCTACACACTAATTCGATCACTGCTCAAGAATAATAATTTTTCAGCAGATTTACCAGAAAATTGAAAAATGAAAGAAAATTTTAATTTATAATATTTCAGAAAACTTATTGCTTTAATATGTTATTGGACAGGAACTACTACTAAATACAGTACATAGGCTAGGTTCAAAATTATCTAAAACGTATTTTAAAAA